TGCAAGTCCAGCTCGGCTGGCTGGCTGAAAGTCTGGGGTTTGTTTCGATTCTATAATTGCAATATTGTTTATTAGAGTGCAAGCTCAGAGCCGGGCCCTGGCAGGTGGAGAACCTTGGCTTCCTCTATCACTGGAGCAAGCAAGCCTCCTGCTCGCTTCAGCTGCGTGGCTGCCAGCTGCCATCTTGGTTGGCGGTTAATTTGCATATCACCCTGATTAGCCAATGGGAAGCGTAGCAAAGGTACGGTCAAATACCCTTTTTGTCTTTTATTAAATAGGATAACAACATATACTTTCAAATAAAAGCTAACAGAGGCTGGGGACTTACGCAAATTGCTATTTGTTCTTAGTAGGACCACTGGGCCATAGAATACCAAAGTAGGGCAAAAGTAGGTTTACAGTTGTGAGTAAACAAAAGCTTATCATTGTATTATTAATCACTGTATTATTTTCCATATGAACTGTAAACGTACTTTTGCCCCACACTGTATATGTTGTGTTTAGCTTCAATGATTACTACCAAACCCTTTCCCAAAGTACCTATTTTTAAAAAACATTTATTTAGAAATATTCTCAAACTTTTAGTAAAGTTGCACAAGAATATTCTTTATCTAGATTCACCAATTGTTAATCTTTTGCACTATATGCTCTATCATTTCATACCTCTGTGAATTTTATTTTCCTGAACCATTTGAAAGTTGCAGAAATCATACCCCTTTAGCTCTAAATACTTCAAGATGCATTTCCTAAGAACAAAAACATACTTCAGTTGAATCACTTTATAAAAAGAAAGCAAAATGAAAGAATTTACCTACCCCTGCAGTTGCTGTTGGTGAGAGGAAAGGGGCACTCTTGGCTTATTCCAGCCAGTATAATCTTGATTACACCTCAATTTTTTAACAGATAGAGGAGCTGGCTGAGGAAGAAATCCCAAACTTCTTTTGGCAGAGGGAGTTTGGCTTGAGATGTTAGTCCTATAAAAAAGAACAAAAATATAAAGAAGCAAAACAATTTTTAAAATACTCCCCTCTCACCCCCGTAAGTAGATTCAGAGAAGTTATATCTGAGAGAAAAAAAATCTAAATTTGGGGAAATACCAGTAATAATGATCACTTGAGGAAAAAATCCACAAATTCCAAGTCTGATAGAGAGCTGAAGAAGCATATAATACTTAACCTACAATCAAAATAATCTAAGTCAATGGCTTAAGAAACAGTATAAATATAGTTTTACTTTTTTATTAACTTTCACCACTTAATGGATATCATACATTAGTTTGCCTAGTTTGAAAACATTTGGACAGTTAACTTTTTCCACTATTAAATGACACAACCAATATTCTTACCCAACCTACTTGAGAACAACTTTCAGTTTATATGCTGAGAAGGGAAAATATTAGTATCTTTTAATTTTCCTAGATAGTGTGATTTTTTTCCAAAAAGACTGTACCAATTTACAGATTCCAACAGTAGTGATTTCCATTTCTTCATATGGTCTCCATTACAGTATTACTAATTTAATGAGTGACACATGATCCCTCATTGTTATTTTATTTTCCTGATTACTACTGAAGTCGAATATATTCTTATAACTGTTCACTCTTCTCTAAATTTCTTTTTGTGCACCCTTAGGTTTTATATCAGATTCTTAAAGATTTGTAGTTTTTTGCACATTCTATATTCTAGTCCTTTGTCTATTAGATATCCTAAGTTTCAGGTTTTTGCATAGTCAAATTTATCATTTTTCTTTTATAGTTTCAAATTATGTGTCTTGTTTAAGACTCATTCTGTAGCATAAGGTCATAGAAATGTCTTCCTTAAAAGTTTTAACACCTGTTTTCCCTCCTATTTAGGTCTTTAATCTGCTTGAATGTTTATTTACTTGTATGTTGTGAAGTAGGAATATGACTTGCTTTTTTTATAAGGAAAAACTGTCTCCAAATGACTTATTGTCTGGTTAGGCCATCTATTAGCCACTGTTTGGTTTTATTGTAAAAAAAAAAAAAAGTGTGCCTTAGTCGGTGTGGCTCAGTGGATAGAGCCTGAGGACAGAAAGGTCCTGGGTTCGATTGCCATCAAAGTCATGTACCTCAGTTGCAGGCTCCTGACCCCTGCCCAGGGCCCTGGTCAGGGCGTGTGCAGGAGGCAACCAGTAGATGTGTTTCTCTCACATCGATATTTCTCTGTCTTTCCCTCCTTCTTCCACGCTTTCTAAAAAGCAAAGGAAAAATATCCTTGGGTGAGGATTAAAAAACAAAATGTGAAGTAGAATACTTTACAAAAAAGTATATAAAAATGAAATGTGTACCACTGTGTCAATTGCGAGGGAAGCTGCATGTGTGTGGGGACAGGAGGTTCATAAGAATTCTCTGCACTTTTGCTCAATTTTATTATGAATCTAGAACTACTCTAAAAAAATAAGGTTTATTAATTTTTTAAAAAGTGAAATGTAGAGCTCAACAATTTTTAAAATTTTACTGATTTCAGAGAGGAAAGGAAAGGGGGAGGAAGATGGGAACATCAATGATGAGAGAGCATCATTGATAGGCTGCCTCCTGCACACCCCACACTGGGATAAACCCCACAACGCTGCAGCCCTCCTTACAGGGAATCGAACCATGACCTTCTGGTTCATAGGTCAACATTCAACCACTGAGCCACGCCCCTGGGCAACTTAGCAATCTTTATGAAGTAAATACCTATGTAACAATCATTCATGTCAAAAAACCCTAAATGCCTCCTCCCAAACACAACCCTATTCCTCTACCCTAAAAGTTATCACTAACTATTTCAGGTTTATCCTTTCAATGCACTGCTAAATACTGTAGTTTGGACAATGCAAGGTATATCTGTTTTCATTCTTTCTCTCTCAACCTTTCTGCATCTTTCATTGCTGTTGTTTCTTTTTAAAATAGCAAATAGATTATTCCTCCTTAAAAATCCAGTTTAGCCCTCGCTGGTTTGGCTCAGTGGATGGAGTGTCGGCCTGCAGACTGAAGGGTCCCGGGTTCGATTCCAGTCAAGGCCATATGCCCCCAGTTGCAGGCTTGATCCCCAGTGGGGGTGTGCAGGAGGCAGCCGAACAGTGATTCTCTCTCATCATTGATGTTTCTATCTCTCTCCCCTTCTCTCTTCCTTTCTGAAATCAATAAAGATACATTAAAAAAAAAACCCAATTTATTGCCCTGGCTGGTGTTTAGTGGTTACCACAATGGCCCGTGGACCAGTGTCTTGGGTTTGATTCCCAGTTGATGCTTCTTCTCCCCCTCCTTCCCCTCCTTCCCTTGTCTCTAGAAATCAATGAAAAAAGTATACTTAGGTGAGGATTTAAAAAAAATCCAGTTTATCTTTCTCTTTAATTGAAGCATTTAGTATACTTATATATAATATACTTAATGATTTGGGTTAATAACTGTTTTAATATCCTTGCCTACTAATTCTATCATCTGTATAATTTCTGAGTCAGTACTTATTAATTTTTCTCTTCCTTATGAGTTGTGTTTTCCTGCTTATTAGTATGTCTAGTAATGTTTTCTCAGGTGGCAGACACTGTGAACTTTACCTTGGTGGGTGCTGGATATTTTAGACTTCTATAAACATTCTTTTTGTTGGTGTTGTTAATCTTTATCAAAGGATATTTTTTCCATTGATTTTTAGGAAGACCGAGAGGGAGGGGGAGGGAAAGTGGGAGGGAGAGGGGGAGAAAAACATCAATGTGATACAGACATTGGTTGCCTCCTGCACGCACCCCAACCAGTGCAGGGGATTGAACCTGCAACCCAGGTATGTGTCCTTCACCAGAAATTGAACCAGCAACACTTCAGTGTCTAGGACTATAAACATTCTTGAATTTCGTTCTGGGATGTGGTTAGGTTACCTGGAAACAGTTTGATCTTTTGGGGCCTTGCTTTTAAGGTTTGTTATGAGGGACCAAAGCAGCAATTAGTCTAGGGATAGTTTTCAACACTAATAAGGTAAGACCTTTCTTAGCATTCAAACTGCTATTCAGAATAGGAACTATGCCTGGGTTTATGTGAACTTCCTAGTATTATTCCCTTAGATCCTCTTGGGTAGTTCTTTCTCTAGCCTTGCCTAGATTTCTCACCTACATAAGATGATTGGCAGCCAACTGAATACTCAAGGTGGACCCTCTGCAGATCTCTGCAATTCTTTCTCTGTACAGCTCTGCCCTCTGGTACCTTGTGAATTCTAGGTGCTTTGGCCTCTCTGGATTCTTAGCTCCATTTCCTGAACTCAGGAAGAGCACAGGGCTCTGCCTAATTCCCCCTCTGTGTGGCAGCCTGAGAACTTTCTCTAGAAAGCAAGCTGGAGCAGTCATAAGGCTAATTTTATTTGTTTCCCATCTCTCTAGGATCATTATACTTCACTGCCTCATTTCCAATGTCTTAAGATCCATTGTTTCATATGATTTGCTCTGGTTCTTAATTGTTTCATGAAGGACAGTCTGGTCCCTGTTACTCCACCTTGGCCAGAAAAGGAAATCATCTTTAACTGTTTAATATGTCTAACTTAACTGTGGCCTCTTCTTAAATAAGAAAAGGAACTTAAACTTGTCCTCTGGAAAGAGGAAATGTACAACTAGAAGTTAAGAAACAAAGGGAGATTTACTATTTACTTTTCACTGTATCCACTCTGTAACTTTTGAAGTTTCTACTATATGTATTTATTAGTTATACAAAAGAATAAATTTTAAAAGTATTTTGATGTTAAAATTCACCTTTAAAATTATTTTGCTCAACAGTATTTCTTACTTTCACTCCTGTTCGGTTTTCTTTTTGCTGAATACATTCTTTGTATTATCTGAAAATAGCATTGTCTGCATTCTTCAATTACAATTTAGCTGGGTATACTGGTAGAATTATTTCATGCTATTACTTCAGTGTCTTCTGATCCTATTGTTGCTAATGTCGGTCTGTTTTACCTTCATAGATGACATTTTCTTCTGGTAGCTTTTAAAATTTCTTTACCCATCATATTCTACAATGTGAATTTTTATTTTTTTAATATTTGCTGTTAGCACTTGTTGAGGTAATTTTTCCATGTGTGGACTTTCATCATTTTCATCTATCATGTCTTTGACAAATTCCTTACTTTTATTCTTCTTAGTCTTTCCCCCCAGAATGCTATTAAGACATGGAAGATAGACCATGGAGACCAACATAAGTCTCTCAATTTCATTTACATTCATCATCTCTTCTCTGGTGCATTCCATGATCATGCCTGACGTACTTAGTAGGTGCCTCGGTCTGGACCTCTAATCTGCATAGGACTTTATGTCAGGGGTTCAGAATTCTTGCCCTATGAAGGTAACACTAAAGCAGATACCAAATCACTGCAATTCCCATTTCTTTGTATTTTTTCTTGCTCAATGAGCATCAGGCAAGCAGCACATTTATGGTTTTGTTTTAGCTTACTAGCATAGAGAGAGCAGTTGTAGATACCCACCTTCATGTAGCTTCATATAAGAAACCAAGTTCTGGTCTGGGGTCTTGTTCAGTTTCCAACCTCATGTTAATTTTGAAGACCCAACTGTAAATACTTGACTCCTGTCTATGTTTTCCATGTGTCTTATGGACTCAGCCTTTACTCAATATTAGTTTTCTCACTTATCTGGAAATTTTTACCTTATTTTTTGAATGCAGCTTTGCATTTTGAAAAATCACTCCCCTCAATCATTGCTTTGTGCAATGAAATGATTATCCTATTACGTTAAAAGAAATTTGTATTGTACTAATAAATCATTTATAAACCAAATGTAGGTGTTTTTTAAAATTTAAGATTTCTTTATGATCCCTCTAATAAACAGAAATAAGCCAAGCTTCCTCTCTCTTAAATTCAAATGACCTATAGTTACCACTGCACTCATAAAGTGCTTGACATATACCACCCAAAGTCTTATATACCTAAATATACATTATCAAATTCTTTACTTCACCTTAATCATTTTCTATAAATAATCAAGATGTTTTTTACCACTCTGAATTTCCAGTAAAAACCAAAATATGACTTAATAGGTCATTCATTATATACCATATTTATTATACAACACCATTACCGTCACTTTTTACATTTACCATTGCTCCTCTGTGCTACAATCTGTAATCACACCTTCCTGACAAGTGTTTAGCAGTTGTCTTATATACTTATATCCAATAAATCTCAAGAAATGTAATCTACAGCTATAGACCACAATTAAATTTTTGACTAGCCTTTTCCAATAATGTGAAACTTGTTTTTTAAAAAGAAAATGCCCTAACTTTTGATAGGTACCTTAAAAAATACACAGGCAACAAAGGCAATCTGTTGAGATCTTAATATTTTCATAATTTGGGATGATGGAGAATTCATTGATCCAGGATTTGGTCATATTGCCAGTCACAACCTGTGGCCTCAGTACAAATTTTCCTAGAATTTAGTTTATTCATTTACTAAAAAATGTAAAAAAGAAGAGCTTTAATGAAAATATTTGTAGGTACTTTCTAACTAAAATGTCAGGAGTCTATGATTTTCATCAATTTTGTTATTTTAAATTAGTGCATTTACTTAGAATATACTTAAAGATGTAATAAACCTTAATGTTGAATTAAGGTACATCTTACAATGTTGATGTGAAAGAGAGGGGGTAAAAGGTATTCATGCATAATCTATCCTTTCATTCAATATCTGAAGAAGCCCTAGCTGGTGTGACTCAGTGGATAGAGGATCAGCCTATGGACTGGAGCAGCAGTTGCCAAATGGTGGCCCGCAGACCACTGTTGGTCCGGGAGGTCCGAAAGGTTGGCGATCGCTGGACTGGAGAGTCCCAGGTTCAATTTTGGTCAAGAGCACATGTCTGGGTTGTGGGTTTGATCCCCAGCAGGGGGCGTGCAGGAGGCAGTGAATCAATGATTTTTCTCTCTCATCACTGATGTTTCTCTCTATCCCTTCCTCTCTAAAATCAATAAAAAAATATTTTTTAAAAATATTCTGAAGAAGAGAGCTCTTTAAGTTCTTTACAGAGCATATAACCAGCGCATACCTGTCTAGATTAGTATTGCCAGAAGAGTAGTCCTTGGATCCAGATCTGCTACCATAAAAGGATGATGACTGCAAAGGTAAAAGTCCTATAAAACGAAGAAACACAGGAACAATTTTATTCCTAAATCAACCATTGAAGTCCAATTAATAATAAAATTATGCATTGGGCCTATTTATATTTAACTCTTTTCCCCCTTTCTTTTCATCAAAGTTGGATAAATATTAAAAGATCTATACCGTGTAAAAGGTTATAATAGCTAAGAATACTCTCCTGCCCTAAAGCTCCAAAAACTTTTTAATTTATTCATTTTGAACAGTATCAACTGACTCCCTATTAGGAAAAATTTGAAATTTCTCATTTACATCACCCCTACTCTTATGTACTTCCTTCTGACCAATTATTAGTTGTGTTATTTTAGTTTCTATGGATTAACTTTGTAACTTTAACACACTTAAAACTTCTATATTTTGTTCCACGAACTTTCTTATCTTCCTTCTCTCTCCTCTTCCACCTTAACTTTGTAATGTGTATCTTAACTTCAACATTGTTAAGGCTTATTACACCTTCAAGTATTTTCTAACTATAGGTTGATTATAAAAGCTTAAAACTAGTAAATGGAGATTATATAATGTATTATTATTTCAGAGATAAGAAGTATATTCAAGATACTTCTTTCTGTAGGAGTCTAAAATCACAACTCTGAAAGGCTAAAAGGAGATGATTTCTAGAGTCTTAATCGAATTAATTTCCTTAAACTCTCAATTTATCAAAATCATGCCATATTTTAGTTTGCTTCAATTTAATTTCAAGTTGACATAATATTCAAATCTACATAGTTCAGAGGATCATAGAGATTGGTTAAGTGTAGGAAATATTAACGAAACTTAACAGACAATTTAACTTTTAGATTTTGTAAAAACAGGGTACAAGGTGAGATTAAGCAATTGCTTTAGGCAATAACTTCAAGATCTTATAGAACTTATAGTAAATGGCAACGCTGATGAACTTTAATTTCAATCACTTTAACTCCTTGAATTCACTTTAAGGTACCTTGATAATGAGAGTTTAATTCTAGGCAGTTAAATAAGGAAGAAGGTAAGGTCTAGACTCTTTATAAATAGAATAAAAGGTCCCTAATATTTCTATACTTTAAAAGTATTTTAGCAGAGTACTGGATACAAATTGGTGCCCAATAACTAGTACTGAATTATGGAGTATTCCTGAATAACAGAGAGGTATGTCCCAATTTAGGGTTTTATTTCTAGTCTATACAGTATATCCTATATAATAAAAGGCTAACATGCAAATTGACCAAATGGCGGAACAACCGGTCGCTATGACACACACTGACCACCAGAGGGCAGATGCTCAACATAGGAGCTGCCCCCTGGAGGTCAGTGTGCTCCCCCTGTGGGAAGCCGGGCTCACAGCTGGCAAGTGCAGCGGTGGTGACAGGAGTCTCTCCTGCTTTCACAGCAGCACTAAGGACCCCTTAGATAAACCGGCAGTTGGACATCCCCCAAGAGGTCCTGGACTGCGAGAGGGCACAGGCCAGGCTGAGGGACTCCACCCCTGCAGTACATGAATGCTGTGCCACGGACTTCTAGTTATATAATAAATGACTATCTTATATAAAGACCAAATACTTACCTGAAGTCCTATTCTCTTCCGACTGTTTCAAACTCAGCTGCTTCTCTCTACTGCTGGTTAAATACTTTCTTGAGGGATCTGTCATAGCTTTGTTGTTCCTATAATCAATAATTTAATTCAATATATATGTGTGTAAAGTATAATTCTTAATTTTAAATAGCTGTCATTAAAAATTTACACTTCAAGTGCTAAATTCATGGATTTGCATGGAAGTTATGCTACAAAGTGTTAAAGCTTCAAAAGGTCAGAGACTTAAGCAAATGAGAATCATGAAAATAAGGTTTCATTACCAAGTCAAACACCAACCAATCCATAACCCTATTGATTAAGCAAAAATGAAGGAGCATTTTATTTTTACAAAACTCAAACCAGAAACAGCAAGATTACACAGGTTTTCTTAGTCAAAAGCTAGGGCAGATGAAATGATTTAGCTACTAAAAGACCAAAAGAATCAAGAAGTAAACTATTTGAGCTTGATACTAAATAGGTTTAAAAAGTAAACATAATGGTTTGTTGGAGGATGAATGAGTGAGGATGTGTCAAATATTCAAACACCTGTGTACAGAAGAGGAATTGGATTGATTAATAATCTTATCTTAGTGTGATTCTATTTCAGAGTAAGGCACAGTTTTTTGGCAGTATGTTTATCACTGAATAACCCCAAGCACATAATTGGTATTCAACAGATATCAGTTAATATAATTGCTCACTGATGCTTTTTTTTTTTTTACTTTTGACATGTTTAATATAAGAATATTCACATTCTTAAAGTAAAATCAGAAAATGTTGTCATATAGCTAATATATTGTAGACATTTTTAGACCATATGGGAATATTAACCTTGTCCTCAAATTGCTTATGGTTTACTTATAAAGGAAAAAAAAAAATCCAGCCCTGGCCAGGTGGCTCAGTTGGTTGGAACATCATCCCATACACCAAAAAAGTTGTGGGTTCAATTACCCATCAGGGCACATATTTAGGTTCTAAGTTCAATCCCCAATTGGAGAGCATACAGGAGGCAACAAATGTTTCTCTCTCACATAGATGTTTCTCTCTCTTTCCCATTTTCTCTAAAAAAATAAAAAAAATAAAAATCAATAAACATATCCTTAGGTGAGGATTTAAAAAAAACCTCACAAGAAATAGAACACATTATTAGCAAGAGGAACATGTACAACAATGTAAGGAATATCACATGGTGGCAATATTGTTTGGCCAAAATATATACATATATTTATGAATATGAAAAATGGATTTTTAAAACAAATGTTTGCCAAATAAACTTGTGAAGTTTATTTGTAAAGCAAAGAAAAAAGTAAAGCAAAGAAAAAAGTCCTTCAACAAACGACAAGTGCTGGAGAGGATGTGGAGAAAAAGGAACACTTGTGCACTGCTGGTGGGAATGCAGACTGGTGCAGCCACTATGGAAGACAGTATGGAGTTTCCTCAAAAAACTAAAAATGGAACTCCCATTTGACCCTGTGATCCCACTTCTAGGAATATATCCCAAGAAACCAGAAACACCCATCTGTGGAATATAATGAACAACATAAACTGATGAACAAAAATAGATCCAGAGACAAAGAAGCATCGAACAGACTGTCAAACCTCAGAGGGAAGGCAGGGGAGGGTATGAGATCAACCAAAGGACTTGTATGCATGCATATAAGCATAACCAATGGACATAAGACACTGGGGGATAGGCGGGGCTAGGGGACTGTCTAGGGCGGGGAGAAAAAATGGACACATATGTAATACCCTTTGTAATACTTTAAGCAATAAAAAAAAAAAGTCCTAAAATGTTCTTATAGTCTATAGATTTGAAATACTATTTACTGTGTCAATATCATTTACGAGTAACATTTATAGTAATTAAATTATTTTTTTATCTTTAAATTCTTTATTAGTTAAGGTATTACAACTGTGTCTTCATCCCCCCATTAACCCCCATCCTAAATTATTTTAATTTCATGAACACAAAGGTAAAGTTTCTTAAGCCCCATTTCCCCCACTATCATTCCTAAACTTATATTCAGATAATGCTCATGCTTTAATTAAAAGTGTTTACTTTAGGAGGACCATTATGAATAAAGCCTGTAGCAAACAAATTAGATGCTCCACCCAAATTCCCTCTGACCCCATTTTTGTATCCTCTCTTCCACATCAATTTAGGTATGTTTTCCATAGCAGTACTTAGGACTATCCCTAATAATATTCTATTACTGTTATTTTGGTTTTCTTAAGGGATTTGTTTTCTGTACTTCACTGTCTTGCTCACCCGATTCCCTTCCTGGTAACCCCTGGGAATACTTCCTTAATAAATTACTTGCACACTTAATCTCCATTTCCGGGTTTGTTTTCTGGGTAACTTGATCTGTAACAGCTGGAACTAAGAAGCACACTCTAAGGACAGGATTCTGGAATTGGATCACTTGTTTGGCAATGGGAAGAGAAATCCCATTGCTGATAATACTTCTGTGATCCACAGTGTATCTGTACTGAATTGGAATGGGATAAAGTGAAAGAAATATGGCTCATGCAGTATCTCTAGCATTCATGGAAATGTGGTAGAGTGCACAATGAATCTTGGTGGAGTTAGAGAAATGTTCAAAAACTGAATTTGGTAATGACTGCACAACTCAATAAATTTACCAAAAAATTATTGAATTGCAGATTCAAAACAGGTGAATTTTATGGACCAAAAAATGTACCTCAAAAAGTTGTTTAAAAATGTCCCAAATTGCCCTAACTGGTTTGGTTCAATTCTCGGTCAAGGGCATGTACCTCCTTTGCAAGTTCAATCCCCGACCCTCGGAGTGGCGCTTGTATGGGGAGGCAGTCAGTCTATGTGTCTCTTTCACATTAATATTTTCTCTCTCCTTCCCTTTCACTCTCTCTAAAAATTAATGGAAAAAATATCCTCAGAAAAGGATTTAAAAAAAAGTCCCAAATTATTCCCCTCCTAATATTCAACACCCCCACCCCAAGAACTGCAATTGCTTCTAACTCTCAAACTGAGGCAATGATAAGAGGTAAATGGAAAAGTAGTTTGTGAAAACTTGGTTATTAGCATTAGGGGAAACTGGGTGAGGGATATATAGGAACATTCCATTTCATCTCTGTAACTTTTCTGTAAATCTAAAATTATTCCAAAATTTAAAAATTTTATTAAAATGATTAAACAAACAAAACCAAAATATTGGTCCAAATTCTTTCTGGACCCTATAAAAGCCTACTTGTTGTATCTTTAAAGAAACTTCTAGATTTTTATAGACGCTTCTTCCAAAACAGCACCAGCATGAAATAGGCTACAAAGAACAGTTTTCAAAACCTTCAACTATAGCCTTGAAAGATAACAAAGGAAACCCACCAAAGGACAAAGCCAGGAGTCATATGGAATACAATGAACAAGGATTTCTCTCAGAGGAAAGAACAGAGATTGCTACATGTGCTAATCAAGAATTTACTCCCCTGCTCTGGCTGGTTTTGCTCAGTGGATAGAGCGTGTCCTGCAGATTGAAGGGTCCCCAGTTTGATTCCAGGTTGCAGGCTCAATCCCCACTGGGGGGGGCGTGCAGGAGGCAGCCGATCAATGATTCTCTCCCATCACTGATGTTTTCTCTCTCTCTCTCCCTCTCTCTCAAATCAATAAAAAATAAAAAAAGAACTTACTCCCCTGCCTTCACAATTTCTGCTTAGCAATTTCTGCTTATACAGGCATATCTCAGAGATATTGTGAGTTTGGTTTCAGATCACTACAGTGAAGGAAATGTTGCAATAAAATTACACAAGTTTTTTGGTTTCCCACTGCAGCCTGGTAAGTATGCAATAGCATTATGTCTTTTAAAAAAACAGTGTATACCTTAATTTTAAATACATTATTGCTAAAAAAAATTGCTAACCATTATCTGAACTTTTAGTGGTCATAATCTTTTTGCTGGTAGAGGATCTTGCCTTCAATTTGTAATAAACTGCTGTGCGAAGTTTATGTGTATGGAGATGGGCATGGGGAATGCAGACTAACTTGCCTTTTATTTTTAGGAACCAGGCCATAAGGCACCTGGTCCAAAAGAGCACACCTGGACCTTATGGAGAGGACTGCACATCACTAAGCAATCCTGGACCTGGAGCTGGATACAAGGACTAAATGAGAGTTGGAGGCTGTCTCTATTAGGCTGATATAGGGGCAAACTATAACAGCCTGTTAGTTGTCCCCAAATAACCATTGTACCCTTCTGCCATTATAAAATTTGGGCTAGGCATATTTACTGGTCTTCCTTATAACTTGATATAACCATATGACTAAGTTCTGGTCAATGTGACATACATAAAAGTTGTGTGTACAATTTCCAACCTAAAGGAAAGCAGTATGCCCTCCCTTTGCTCCTCTTTCTTTCTTCCCTCTGATAGGAATGCAGACATGAGAGCAAAGACTGAAGCAAAATGGAAGCTTATTAAGGACAGTGAACAAACAAGATAAAAGGAGTCTGAGACCTTGGTGATTGTGGTTTCAGATACCACACTATTACCTACCCAGATTTTTACATTTATTTCAGCAGCAGAACCAAGATCCCAATCTATACTAATAAAAGGGTAATATGCTAATTAGACCAGGTAGATCGGACATCCTTCTGGACATCATTCCAGACAAAGCCATGGTGGCAGGGCCGAGGCAGAGGCGGTTAGGGGCAATCAGGCAGGCAGGCAGAGCAGTTAGGAGTGATCAGGCCGGCAGGGGAGAGCGGTTAGGGGTGATAAGGCTGGCAGAGGAGAGTGGTTGAGGGGGATCAGGCTGGCAGGAGAGAGTGTTTAGGTGTGATCAGGCCATCAGGGGAGAGTGGTTATGGGCACCAGGCAGGCAGGCAGAGGTGGTTAGGGGTGATCAGGCAGGCAGGTGAGCAGTTAGGAGCCAGCGGTTCCGGATTGTGAATCAGACATCCCCCAAGGTGTCCCGGATTGGAGAGGGTGCAGGCTGGGCTGAGGGGATACCCCCCCCCACCCCGACCCCCGCCGCAGTGCACAAATTTCATGCACTGGGCTTCTAGGTAAAGTTCCTTCACCTTTTTCCCAGTTCTTTTATGGTGATCTCTTAACCTCAAATACCAGTTAACTATCAATTTTTGTTAAGGTGTTAACTGAGGTATTAACTAAGAACTGTGTAAAATAAGTTTTCTCCCCCTAGAAGACAAAAAAGACCCTCCCATGAAGAAAAAGAGGATGTGAGCTGGTGTCTGTCTTGTTACAGGTGGATACCTTTTTGTTCAACCCAGAAAATAACTCTAAAAGATTGATACTCAATGCCTAGAACCTATACATGGTTCACATTTTTTTTACCCCTAAGCTAACTTTTCACATGAATAAGGTAAAAAGAAATTTTTGTAGGTAAAGGGAAGAGGGAAAGAAGGAGTTCACTCTAAAAGAGCAGACAGCAAGAAACATTTATTAGATTTCTTCAACTCTACTCTTCCTCTAAGTCAGTGATGGTGAACCTATGACACATGTGTCAGAGGTGACATGCGAACTCATTTTTTTGGTTGATTTTTCTTTGTTAAATGGCATTTAAATATATAAAATAAATATCAAAAATATAAATCTTTGTTTTACTACGGTTGCAAAGATCAAAAAATTTCTATATGTGACACGGCACCAGAGTTAAGTTAGGGTTTTTCAAAATGCTGACACGCCGAGCTCAAAAAGTTCACCATCACTGCTCTAAGTACTGCAGATTTTTTAAAAAAATCTATAATGGAAGAAGTGCAATCAAATGATCAAAGCAATAGTAATGGTCAATCTATCACTAAAATACTTTAAATTCTGCTTTTCTATCTTTGAAATTCCCATAAATTGAATAATCTTCCCTCACAGTTGTAATTACCACTATAAAAATACTGATCTAGGGCCTTAAAAGCTCTTAAAGCAACTTACGATGATGAATCATTTTCCTTAGGGTAATCTTCATTCAACTCTGAGCCAGACAGCATTCTTTTCCTCTTTTCAGTTCTATAGAGAATAGAGAAAAGGACCTTATTTTAAAAAGTCAGAATGCATACCATTAAAAAGTATTAAACAACACACTCAAGGACAGATACTGTGATGACTGCTATCTAATTCTCTATACCACATGTAAAATAACGTACCATATATCTGCACACTCAACATGTGTCACTGACATAACCACATAAGACAAATACTAATTATCTACCAAAGATGCACTCTATACTTTCTTCTAACACATTTGACTAACTGGAAAATCAGGCAGGCAGAGCAGTTAGGAGTGATCAGGCCGGCAGGGGAGAGCGGTTAGGGGTGATAAGGCTGGCAGAGGAGAGTGGTTGAGGGTGATCAGGCTGGCAGGAGAGAGTGGTTAGGGGTGATCAGGCCAGCAGGGGAGAGTGGTTAGGGGCACCAGGCAGGCAGGCAGGGGTGGTTAGGGGTGATCAGGCAGGGAGGGGGGCAGTTA